GTAGTCGCGAGGGGGGCGAGGGGGGGCGCGGGAAATCGTCTTGGCGTGTTTTCGTTTTCTTTCCTCTTCTTCCCCGTTTTATCCCGACACTCTCTTTACTCCTCTTTTTTTCCTTTCAGCCATCCGCAGTATCCGGAGGTTAGTTGAAGGAGGGAGGAAGAGCAGATTGCACAAAGGCGCGTGGGTATTCTTTGCGTTGGTATTGTTTGCGTTTTGACGGGTATCCAAACCCCTTCGCGCAGTCGCCGCAATCATTAGTTCCTCTGGTTGCGGTTGGCAGGAAACGTGCCCCTTGGCGTGGACAGCGTATCCGATGAGTGGAGAAATTGGGAAGGAAGAAAGGCGAGGTCTTTGTGCGATTAATTCTTGTCCAATTCCATGACTGCGCAGTGATGGTCACTCACGCACGTTGCGGGAACCGGCCGGAGGAAACTGTTTCGCCATTGATTTTTCTTCATTTCCACGGCTGCGTAGCTGGTGTTAGTGTCAACGGGAGTATCCTTCCTGATGAATGGTCAAGGCCTTACTTATCATTAAACGACCAAAGGAGCGAATGGCGAACCGAAAGAGCAAGAGACCTGTCGCGTACAATATTAAATGGCTGCCACTGAATCCAGGATATCAGAACGGCACCATTTGCGTTGTGTCCGGTTTCGCCATCGAACGTACGGCCATGTCATCGTTAGTGTGCACATCCAACTGGGGGTCCTTAAGAGTATTGGATGTCGGTTGGACCATTGCGTTTCTCTACTGGAACTGTAAACGAAGCTTTGTCTGCTGCAGAAAACAGACATGGCAGATGATGGGATATACGAGAATAGTTCTTTTACAAGATTTGTGAATTGGTGGTAAACTGAGTAGCGTAGTACTGATGCGGATGAACATTACTATTTTGCGTTGTGAATTTGTTTGTTCGCGCGAATCATCACGAACTGGGTCGGCTGCGCCCTCGAAAAAAGACTTAAATCCGACGTTCGAGGTGGAATGCAATGCAATTCATCAAAATTCTGCAACGCTAAGAGTGAGAGATGCAAGGACGCCTATCCGGCCTTGAGCGTCACTCCATTAGCGCTGCTCCGTTCAATGTTCATTTGCATGTGGAGGAAATCACGTTGCCCAGCGAGTTTATTTTCCATGGACTTTACAATATTTACATCAGTGAAAAACCTCTGTCACCCTTTCACTCACCTCAGCTTCACTGTCGTTTAAACCATTTTGTAAAATGGAAGTTACAACCCCAGGCGTTTACTGACTGCCCACTTTCTTTTCCATCCGCAACCGCCTGTCCCGCACCGCCTCCCGATCTGCCGCAATCTGTTTTAGAGCCTCCTCTCTTCTCCTCGCATCTAACAGCACCCACTATTCAGTACTCTTTCCAAAAAGACCACCACCACGTCACATCATATTTACCTTCCCCAACCCTCCTCTCCGCCTCCCTTTCCTCCCTCTGACGTCTCTCTTTTGCCTTATCCAGATACTCCTCCAAAATCCTCTTTCCAACATCCACCGCCTCCAATCCTCCGGAAAACACATAGACCTCTTCAAACTCCTTTACACTCTTTCTAAACCCCAGCGATACCAACGCGTCCGTTCCCCCCAGCGGCGCGATGAGGGTGGATTGGATTGTGGGGTTTCGGGAACGGAGGGATTGGAATTTTGGGTTTGTGGGGTTTGTGAGGATGTTTGTGCAGATTGTTGTGAGGGTCTGGAGAAGAGAAGAGACGTTTCTAAGAAAACACGGAGCGCGTTTTCCAGTTAAAGGAGGTTGTTTTTACATTGAGACAAGCGAGACCCACAGCGGGGGAGTTATCTCTGAGGATACGGGAGTCTACCAGCCGCCTAAACTGCACGTCGAAGGGTAAGTCGTCTCCGTGAGACATCTTGAAGATGATTTGTGGAGGAAATGGACTGCGAGAAGTTCAGCGAGGTGGACAGTTTTGGGACGGGCAACGGTGGCGCAGCACAGATTAGCAAAGCAAGCAGTCTCCAAGGCTAGCCCAAGGCCAAGGTTGCTCTCTCATTTTCATCCTCTTCCATCCCTCCACCGACCGGGATTGGGAAGTAGAACAAATAACGAATGCGGCAGTATGGACGACGCTGAAACCGTAGTACTCGCGTGCAGGCGACTTCTGTGCCAGACCCAAGAACAAGCTCGCGCTGCGCTGGCGCTTTGTGACGGCTGGCTCACAAAACACTCGGATCAACCAGAACCCGTCGCTCGAAAGAAACCCTTTTTGCCCACGGAAATTATCTCTGCAATTCTGCGTAATTTTCGTGGCCGAGACGCAGAATCGAAAGATGCATTGCGGACCTGCCGGTTGGTCAACAAAGCTTGGAACCAAATCGCGTGGGCTCGGCTTTGGTATACGGTGGTTGAAGAATCTGCGCAATCGGCAACGCGTCGTTTCTTGCACCCATCGGTCTGGAAAATCATGAAAGACGTCCAAGTGAGAAAGTTGATAATTGAAGATCATCTCGGCGATCTTGACTTTTTGTTGGGAGCTCCAATGATGAGTGGCGTTCGAGTGCTACAATTACCGTTTGACCACACGGTTAGCACCTCCCAATTGTTCCTTATCTTTCAAAGTTTGCCGCAGCTTGTTGTGCTGTCAATTTCGGTTCAAAATGGACCAATCAATTGGGATTGCAGGGACGGTGAGGAAGGCTGCCGGGTGGTGGGAATGTGCAAGGGCAAGGAATTTGCGGTTTGGAAGGCTGGATTTGGGAATCTCAAAGCGCTGGATATATCAATCGAGGGGAAACCCGTTGCGGAATTTGACTTTCGCGATGTCGTGGAGGCCAACCTGGGCACCCAGCTCGAATTTCTTGGCATGGCTGATGACAATGAGGAAAGGCACGAGACCAGACTGGATTCATTCTGCCGCAAGGTGGTGGACAAGTGTCCAAACTTTAAAGGCTTCGATTATAGCTGGCCGGTTCTGCGTCCCCCTCGTCATTTCAACCAACTACTATCTCGTTTGGTCTATCTGTCGTTATCTACCTATGCGGACGACATGATGAAGTCAGTGGCTGCTACTTGCGCTCATTTGAAATACCTCGACATTTACTACGACGAGGAGGGGCTTACGCATAACAGCCTTTGGTACCTGGCGACGGGCCCTTTTCTGCGAGCCCTCTCCTTTCATGCGGCACCGGGGACGGATGTCATGCATTGGACTGATGATGAAGTGATCTTCCTTCTGAAAGAACGCGGGAAGTCTCTTGAACTCCTGAACATTGATGGGCAGGGGACGGACCGTACACTGCGCGCGATTGAAGGTTTTTGTCCCGAACTGCGAGGTCACTGTATCAAATTTGGGACGATGACGGAAGCCGGAATTGTTGCATTTTTAAACGGGGTGCGGATGCTGGAACAAATGGATTTACCACCCCGTTTTCGCGAAAACGAGGCGATAGCAAAAGTGGCCAAGGAAAAGAATGTTACAATCGATGCTGATTTCGATTTTCCAACATACATTGATTTGAAGGCGGAGGGTTGGATGGGATGGTAGCAGGCGATGAGAGGGCAAAGTTGGCGGACGGAATACTAGGAGAGGGCGGTGGCTGGGCGACATCGGCGAACGGAACGTCCCGCAGCGCTATCGGCGAGTTGGTCATGGGTTGCAAAAGCGGACTTTTCGGGGCAAATACGAGGGCGGTGGCATTCGAGGTCGACTTGTACGCTAGAACCAAAACGGACTTTCCAACAGAGATACTTTTCTGCCAAATTGTTTTGCCCATTGTTCTTGGTATTGACGTTATCATCATGTTCAGCCAATGTCGAGACTATCCAATGCTGCGAACACGGAAGGACTGATGAAGTCCCACTGGTCAAGGAAGTCCCTTAACCTCATGCAGCTTTCGTCGATCAAGATGCGCAAGACGTCCTTCTTCAAGACTACACATACTGATGCATGGTCTATTCTTTTGCCCCTTTTCTCGCGCACTCGCTTCGCCCGGGTGGGAAACGCGTCGTTTTCTTCTGGGTAAGCAATGAACGGGCGGATCCCACCAAGTGACAAAACAGCGCTCTACGTCCTCTTAACATTTCAAGAACGTTCGTTGGAGGGAGATGGTATGGACGTTGGGATTTCGCGCGTAAACGACATGTCAAATGATACGCCGCGTGTAAACAAACTGTCAATTAGATACACTGCTGTAAGCAAACATGACAAATAGATACTCTGTGCCCAGATGTTTCGTTTATTATTGTTCTTGTACTGGTCATGTAGGACCGATGCTTGGCTGTCAGTATGAAGGAAAAAAAATTGTGCAAGAGAAACCCCATCTACCGATGTCACAGGTCCCACCGAGATTCGAACTCGGGTCGCCAGATTTCTTTGTCACGAGTCACGTGACTTCAGAGTCTGGAGTGATGACCAACTACACTATGGAACCGCTTGGTTACACTAGAGATTAAAACCAATATGCGAAGGTATCAATTATTTCCTATTTCCAATCCTGTCGTTCGCAAAGTTTCAAGAAAAGCCAGCAACTATAAGAACTTATCAACCCTGGAGCAAAAGCCAACTACTCATCTTTCCCAGGTAACAAGCTGCGCCTTGCGACGGCGACAATAAATAAGTTGGGTATCCAATGATTGACAAGGTCACATGACCAGGATACCGCGCCACACGCGTCTGGGCGGCCAAAACTGCAAGTCGGACCGTCTGGTTGAACGACCTTTCGAGCCATACCACCGACAGGCGACAGCAACAATGGTGGGTATCGGCGGTGCCATGACGGTTGTCGAGAGGGGAGGACAAATGGATGGACTAAGGGAGGACGATGGAAACGGCTGGAGGGGCGGGTGATGGATGGATGGATGGGTCGGGGTGGAGTTGCAAATGTGGAATGAGGGACTTGTGAGGGCTAAATGAACCCGGCGATGCGGAGGTGCAACGGAGCTGACGATGTGCGGAGAGACTGGGGACGCTTGCAGAGTACCTGGAAGGGCCAGAAGTATCCCCCCATTTCGTCTTCATTTTCCGTGGAAACTTACCTTTTGCCTCTCGGTCTTCTCGCCATGCCCCCTCTCCCTTCATTCCCGAACCCTCAGGCCACCATCACCGTCCCCGACAAGGGCCAGTTCCAGCACATTCTGCGTCTCCTCAACACCAACATTGATGGAAAGCGCAAGGTTATGTACGCCTTGACCGCCATCAAGGGTTGCGGTCGGCGGTACTCCAACCTTATCTGCAAGAAGGCTGACGTGGACCTTACCAAGCGGTGGGTAGCGGTCAATTTGCGGTGAAGGGGGTCGTTGATGGGTCTGTGCGCAAACGAGGAAAGTTGCTGATGGAATCCTGGGTTTTTTTCTTCCTGGTTGGATGGAAATAGTGCTGGTGAGCTCTCCAACGAAGAGCTTGAGCGCATCGTCACCATCTTGCAGAACCCCCGCCAGTACAAGATCCCAGACTGGTTCCTTAACAGACAGAAGGACATCAAGGACGGTTCCTTCACCCAGGTTGTTGCTAACCAGGTTGACAACAAGCTCCGTGAGGATCTTGAGCGCGTATGTATCGTTTGCGAGGGAGGGGGTTTGAATTTTTTGAGGCTGCTTTTGTATTTACCTTGCGGTATTTCCTCGTTCACAGCTGAAGAAGATCCGTGCTCACCGTGGTCTTCGTCACTACTGGGGTGTCCGTGTCAGGGGTCAACACACTAAGACCACTGGTCGCCGGTAAGTTTTTGGAATCGTGGTCGGTACTATTGCTCGTTTGATTTACTTATTTGGTTTCCTATGTTCCAGCGGACGCACTGTCGGTGTCTCCAAGAAGAAGGGAGGTTAAGGTTAATTTTATTGCGAATGGTGAGTATTTGTTGCGAAAGTTGGGGCAAAGGCGAACCCACACGATGTGGAGGCGGGGAAGGGCGGCAGAGAGTGGAGATGATGATCTATCGCAAAAATTCCTTATCTACATTGCCCGAACAAACGGTGTCGAGGAACTGCTAGGACTGATCTGCGCTTTGTGGGGATGGATTGAAGGATGGGAATGGTCAATCGAGGAAACAGTAGGTCAGGAATTGATCGTTCCTATTCCCGTGCAAACTATAGGTGTCGGGCGTCGGATGCTGTTTCGCTCCTGTATATGGTGTACTTTCCGCATTCATCAATACAAAAATGGATGTGAAATTTTCAATGTTTGCTTTTGTCCCTGCATTGTCTCTTTTTCTGTCATCACCGTCCGTCCGAACACAAGTGGTCGCGCTTTAGAATATCGTTCATGTCTTTTTTTGCAGTTGTGATGTTTGTCTTCTGCTTTGAAGTTACGGGTGTGTGGGGGATGTTTTGGCAACACGCATTGTTTGTTGCATGGACCCTGACTCCGACTGGTGCTGCGCCACTCAACCAATGTTTGACATCTCTGGGAACCCGCAAAACAAACACGCAGGAAGATGATGAGCACGCCTTGCCACGACACCCTTGAGCGCATAGACAAGTACCAATGGTCCTTCTCACGCACGGAGCTGCCGTGCTGCTGGGACGCGGGCGTGCGGAATTGAACGAGAAGGTGCAGTCGCAACGAAGATGTGAACTTTGGATTTCCAGCGGATTTTGACGCTAGTATAATTGCAGCATAATGTGGCATAACATAGCATAATCCGAACATGGGTGTCGCTGAGGGAGTCGGTTTTGGGGAATTTTGGAGTGGAAAATGGCCATTTCCCCCGGCACCCACAAGGCCTGTTTTTTTCGTCTTTGCCCCCCGAAATCCTCCTGTGCAGCGACAAATCCCGCAACTGCACCACCACAAAAACACTCTCGCAACCATACAACCGCCTCACCCGCTTCTCAACCTACTGCATACCTTGTCCCCCGCTCGTATCTACCCCCCAACTCCTCCCGCGCTCTTTTCCTCCGTCCCCCACATTACCTTCCCCCTCAGCGGGTTTAGCTCGCACACTGCTTCGTTCCTCGACTCTTGACTACCTTGACCTTCTCTTGACTTATCGGGGTTGTGCGGTTCTCCTGGATAAGGCGTATTCCTCGATACTCTACTTACTGTCGTCCGTCGACCGTTGCTCCTACCTGGAAGTGCTCTCCTGGTGAGAACCCTTGGGGAAGTGGCCGGAGCGTAGTGGGAAAAGAGCGAAAGCGGCTCTGCAAGAGTGGGTCCTTTTGACAGGACCCTCTTCAACGGTTCGGTTCGGTTAGCCGGCCAGACTGGTTCAATGCGCAACTGAATTGCGGGGTTTTTTAACGGGTTGACGAGGCGGTCTTCCGAGAGCTACTTTCTTCCTCTAAAGACGACTTCCTTCTTCTCTCTGCATGTGCACAGGAAGCTATCCAGGATCCTTGGTTTTGGTGCCGACATTCCTCTGAAGAGACATCACACCAATGACCACTACGCGGCGAGCATCAGTCGCAGCCACGATTGACATTGGTACGTTTCCCAACTCGATTGCTACGGGCCGGAGACTGCGTAGTGGCTATTAGATGGGCCCTACGAATCCGTCTCTCTGGTGTCGACGTGGGTTTTAAGTCTTCCTCTCCACCCTGCATTGCAGCGTTCACCACCCCGCCCCGGAGGCCTTCCGCTTACCGCGGCGTAATCGAACAGCCTCCAATTTCTGACAGCGACGATAACGAAGTCATTGACGAAGAGGAAGATGACGGGGTTACCCGGTGTGTTTGCATGCAAACTGGTAAGACTACGAGGGCGTCGTCCGATATTCTGGACGCGAAGTGACCGCTAACGTCTTGCCTTCACAGAGTCGTTCGGGACCATGGTCCAGTGCGAAGACTGCGGTGTATGGCAGCACTGTGAATGTATGAAACTGAGTCCCAAAAAATTACCCGACCACTATTATTGTGAGGAATGCAGACCACACAACCATCCGACGTTTTAGTAAGTGCAACCACCTCGCTGGATGCCGTCGGCGACTTCGGGCGGTACATTCTGTGGGATAAAGTCCTAACCTTCTTGCAATCTCAGCGGCAAACCAGTCAGTAAGCCACGAAACGACAGGACAACCGCTCTTGTAGCGCTGGCGGCCGCAGGCGGTCGCCCAATATCACCCAAGAAGCGCAATACCATGAACAGTCGCGAGGCTGCTCAACCTTATAGCGAGCTGTTGGCTGTGCAGCCAGAGCGACCGCGTTCAGGTGCACGCGGAGAAGAAGACGAGGAGGCGGACGAGGTGGCGGAAGAAGAGAAACAGCCTGAAAGCGAGGTGCCTGATACACCAGGCCAGAAGCGGAAACGAAAGAACAGCGGAGCTGGCCACGAGAGAAATACCAAAAAGAAGACCGGTAGTCATCCACCAGAAGTGACGCGAACAAATGGAAAGCGCGAAGCGTCTGGTAAGTTGGTCGTTGACCTGCCAGACACTGCTTCTCATGTGCTTAATGGAACGACTCCCTTTTGTCTTCAGTGTCCCAATCGCCTACAGAAAGCCACTGGAATAAAAAGAAGGCGAGCGACAAGGAAACGAAACCTGCCACTAACGGCAATGGCAGCGGCAACAAACCAGAGTTAAGAGATTCCCGTGCCAGTAACGGCAATGGCAACAGCAACAAACCAGAGTTAAGAGATTCCCGGGCAGACTCTAAATCCGCAAAGCGGAAACGCGACTCGGAGCGCGAGAGTACTGGCCCATCGCGTCAATCTGTTCCTTCATTCCCAGAAGTCAAGCGAGAGCCTGACGATGACCGAGCTGAGGCCGAGTCAGAGGGAGAAGCTGGTGCAGGTACGCCAAAGGAGAGTAGAAAACGAAAAGTGGACGAGCCTCCCGACCCTCCGCGGCCTGCTCGTAAGACCACACCACCAGACAACAAAAGAGCCCGCCCAAGCATTTCACGTAGCGACAACAAAAGCGAGGGTCGATCACGCGCAGATAGCTCGGCACAAGAGCTCCCGTCACCACGAGCAGAGCAAAGAAAGAAGAGCAAGACCGAACCTCCTCGGAGGACCAACGGGCAGGTCGCGTCACGGAGCAGGACTACCAACGGAAGGCGGACAAATAGCTCGAATACGAACGGAGGATCTCCCGATGGCAAGAAGAATAATTCCGCGGCTTCTATTTCCGCAAATCAGACACCCGAGCGTCCGTCCACTCCTCCCATCAAAATACGACAATGGGGCCCGCGGGCGACGCTGGGAGAAATGAACAAGCGTGTTAAGCAACTTTCTGATTACATTACCCGATTGCAAGTGTCTATGGCTGCAGAGACCAAAATTGATCTGCCTCCTGACCCGCTATCGACACCGACCATTCCCGACCCACCCACACCATCAACAGCAACGACTATCGTCGCCGCCTCGTCATTGGCATTGTCATCAACAACGACAACCACTACCACCTACATCGCCGCCAGTCTCCTCACCTCCTCGCCTGTCATCCTTTCCCCACCCGAACAACAACCTACTCCCAATTCATCACCCGAGAAAGAA